TCTCAAAAGAGTTTGTGCAGCTCTTTAGCATAGTTTTGTAGAACAATAAGTGTTAAGTTCAAGTTCTTCCAAGTCCTCCTTTTATAGCTGAAAAAGAGATTCGTTGAAGGGTAGAATAGGAAACATAAAACCAGTTATTTTGTCCCCAACGATCATGGTGGGAATAGTAGACAACAAGTACAAAAAGGAATGTCCTTACGCCACCCTATAAGAGTAGAGGTCACGGTGTACTTTGTACTTTTATACTCACCGTCTCACGCAAGTTAGTCTTGATCTTTATCTTATATGTATTCAGAGGCTTCTGATGAATGTTGATGAATAATGTTGTAGAAGGATCAGAACTTGAATCTTCTTAGCCTAAGTCTTTGGAGTCTTCATAACTTGTTCAGCAGAACCTTGTCTTCAGAGTCTTCAACACTTGGTCTTTAGAAGTAATATCTTTGGATCTTCAGAACTTGTTCAGCAGAACCTTGTCTTTAGCATCTTCAAAACTTAGGACAACAGAAGCAAAGCTTTAGAGGGCCTCAAAGCTTCCTTGCAAACTCACGATCATAAGCTCTTGTACTAACGTTCCTTAAAACCGTTGCATGAGAAGAATTCCAGAACCTTGACTTTAACTTGTAACACACCAAAGGTATTCTTCCATAGTGTTGAGTTCAGAACCTGATGATGTCACACGTCTTCTTACTAGAGTTATAGACTATTTAGCAAAACCTACACACTAGACAAAAACCATTAGAGTACACAATTATTTTCTAAGATACCATGTAAAATTATCATCAAAACATAAGGCCAGATGTAGAACCAATCTTGTTTTTACATCCTTATGGTGACTATTGAAGAAGTGTAAAGAAGGAAAGAAAAAGTAAGCTTAATGGCTTATGAATATCAAAACTTTGAGAGTCAGCAGAGTTGGTGGTTTTTGGATTCTTTATGCACCAAAATTGAAGTTGTAGGCAAAGGCAGTGCACGGCTGGTAAAAGAACATAAGGTGCTTGTGGGTTAAGATGTTTTCTATGTACCTGGTTTGACAACAAATTTGCTTAGTGTTGGCAAAATGCAAGAAAGGGGACTAGTCTTTCTTATCAAGAACATTGTCTACAAAGTTTTTCATGAGGAGAAAGGACTTTTACTACAAATCAAAATGAAGACAAACAAAATGTCTATGCTTTATATGCCAAAGAAAAGTGAGTGCAGCAGCTTAGATCAATGTTTTCAAATTACTGGTGTCAAGGAAGATTCGTTGATTCTATGTAATCATAGATTTGGACAATTGAGCTATCAAAACCTAATGAAGTCAGAGAAGAAAAAGTTGGTTACATGTCTACCCAAGCTACCGGGAAATTCAGAAATTTGCTCAACTTGCATGGTAGGGAAGTAGCAGAGAAAGGATTTTACAAAGCAAAGCAAGTGGAAATCCACTTAGGGGTTAAAGTTGCTTCATGCATATTTGTGTTGCCTTATCACTCCTCAACCAAGCAGTGAGAAGAGGTACATAGTGAGAAGAGGTACATACTTACAATGATTGATGATTTTTAGTAAAAAGCTATGGGTTTTTTTCTTGAAAGAAAAATTAGAAACATTTGATGTTTTCAAGAAATTCAAGACTCAGATTGAGAAGGAATCAGGGTCTGCCATTACGCATCTTAGAATATATAGAGGATGATAGTTTACTCATACAAAGTTTCAATACATGTGTGCTAAAGAGGGGATCGGAATGTAGCTCATAACAGCTCTCACTCCACAGCAGAATTGAGTAGTAGAAAGAAAGAATAGGACCATTATGAGTATGGTCAGATGCATGATGAAAGATGCTAAGGTGCCTACTACTTTCTGGTTTGAATCAGTTGCTTGGACAACCTACATTCTCAACATAAGCCCCACAGTTTCTAGTAAGTATAAAACTCCTTAAAAACTTTGGACACTTAATCCACCTTCAGTCGAGCACTTTAAAGTTTTTGTAAGTGTTTACATGTTCCAAATTATAAAAGGAAGAAACTTATTGATAAGAGTTGGAGAGGTTTATTTTTGGGAATGCCTCAAGAATCAAAGGCATAGAGACTATACAATCCTAACAATAAAAAGGTGGTTATCAATCTAGATGTTAGATTTGATGAGCAAAAGGGATGGGGTTGTGAGTCTGGAAGTAGTTCTACATCAACAACATTGGTCTGGGAAGGATGTGATGATGAAGTTTGTGATTCAGATGCAGATGACAGTGATGAGGAAAGTGATAAGATTCCTCCAAATAAAATGGAGGATCACCGTGTACGGAATGAACCAAATGTGACTATTATAGATTTGGAACCAAGGAAAATGATACTTCTTACGTATTTATAAGACTATGATCTCAATTTCATTCAAATAGTTCTATGTGATATGCTAGCTTCGGTAGGGGATCCTCTATTGTTTGAAGATGTAATGAAGGAGGGGAAATGGAGAGTTGCTATGAAGCAAGAAATTCAAGCAATTGAGAAAAACAATACATGGTGTCTTACTGAGCTTCCATCGGGTGTGAAGCAGATTGAGGGTAAAATGGGTGTTTAAAACCAAGTTGAAGGAGAATGGGAGTATTAATAAATACAAAGCAAGATTTGTTATGAAATGGTACGCTTCAGAAGAAAGGTATAGACAACAGTGAAGTCTTTGCTTCTGTAGCTAGGTGGGATATAATTAGAGTCTTTTTAGCTCTTGTTGCATACCATGGTTATCATGTTTGTCAGCAAGACATGAAAAGTGCTTTCTTATACGGTGATCTTACTGAGGACGTTTATATGGAGCAACCACACATGTTTGTAGTTGTTGGGGAGGTGTAATACGGTGGGAGAATTGACTTTTTTGTTTTATAGCAAATGTTGTGGTTAGCAATAGTCGCCACCGACTTTTCTTTTATTCAACATTTAGGAAAGGTGAAAAAACAGGAAAGACCTTTGATAGATTTTGAGTTCGAGAGGTAAGTTATGAAAAGGGAAGGTGTTAGCACAATTTTCATGCGTAGTTATCTACGGACTCTTAATTGCTTAGCTCACTTTTAAAATTTTCTTTGTGTGTGTGTGTGTGTGATTTGTTTGAAAATATTTTGAAATGCCAATGTAAGATTAACTTTGTAATAATTCTTGTATTAGTCCTCAAGAATGTATACAAACTGTTTTTGAAAATATATGTTATTTTAAAAATGTGATATTTGAACATGTTGTGAGCAAGCAACTAAGAGTCTTACCCACTAATAAGGTCTTTCTTATTATATTAATTAAAAACTCGCTAGTTTACCTACACGATTTAACAATAATTTTTCATTAATCCAAAAGTGCTCATTACAATATAATGTAATTTTATCATTAACTAAAAATTAGTCAAAGATATGGACATTTTAATTGAATTATGAACAATCTCATTGATTTGTCTCTAAATAAAATTAATATTGAAGTTGTTATATTGGTAACCGTGTGGTTACTGCTTTAGTTATTTTTATTTTTATCCTATATTTTTTATATAGAAATTTTTGTGTGGAAATCTACTTAAATCCATATTCAAAGAAACATTCAATAAAAAAGTTTTTATATTTATTTTAACTTTAATTTTTTTAATTAGATTTATGGATTCATATGATTATGAAGGTAAGAGAAAATATTATAATTATTTTTTAATTAATTAAAATTTTGTGATTGATTGTGTGTAAAATTAATTTTTATAATTATGTCTATCTAAAAAAAATTCTTTGTTATAATAATATTCTCCTAACGTTAAAGAAATAACTAAGTTGTATTTCTTCTAATATTTTATTGCTAAAGAATAAAATAGAATAGTAAATTCTATTTTCTAATTTGGTAAGTTGTTTATTAGGGTTTGACAGAAAGAAGAAGAAAATATTATTTTTCTCATAGTAGTCGGTGCAACTTCTGCATTCTCCTTTTGTTGTCATTCAATTTTTCTTCTTTCCGATGGATAGGTTTATTAGAGACAAGAAGGTAACAATAAAGATGTTATTCGTGTTTGTGATAGTTGTATGCTTTTACTCATGTAACTTCGAGACATGATATTTTTTCAACTTACGAGACCGGTAACTATACAGTTGTTCGTATTCTAAAAAATTGAAAAACTCTCATTCTATTTGTATTGATGTAGCTTTTCTTCTTGTTTTCCTTTTTTAAGTTCTAACAATATATTTTTGTGTTTTTTTCCCGCAATGAAGACACTCAATATTGAAGAATCTATTATTAGAAACTCCTTGTAATTTATCACATGATATCTCACGATTACTTAAACATCTACTTTGATGTCTCCCCATCGATTCAATAATCAAAACTTCAGAATGTGAAGAAGGACCTTGTGACCTCAACCCCTCATTCAACACACTACTTTGAACAAAGTCCACCAAGATGATACCATTCAAAAAAGAGTTAGACAATGATGTCCTAGAAATATCCTAATAATTAGGCAAAATACCAAAAAACCACAAACTTTGAATTTCATCATCAAAGTAAGATTTATCCTTGACAATTGATTTAGAATACCTTGAAAAGTATTCTAGTGATTGGTCATTGGTGAACATTCACTACCTCAAAGGCATCAACTGCTTGAACAAGAACAACTTATTGTTCCCCATCTTTCTTAAATAAATCTCCTCAAGTTTTGCTCAAAGAAAGCCACCATAAGACAACGAATTCACATTATTCAAAACATTATCATCCACTCATTGACAAATGTAACCACAAACTTGTTTATGGAACACACTACATCACTATTTTCATTGAGTTTTTCACCAGATAAAACATAAAACAAATCGCTTATCTTCCTTTTCCAAACATTATAGTTGAGAACCCAAAGGACACATAGATCACCGGATATCTCCAATAAAAACAACAATGGTACTCCCTCCACAATCCAAAACATATAACAAAATTGCAAGACGATCAAATAGTAGAATAGTGCACAAATGATGATTTGTGCGACTGGTCAGAATTTATGCGTTGGGTGTTGAGTAACCAGTCACACAATGAATGGGTGTATACATTTGGATTCGTCTTTTTTATTATCATAATCTCTATAAAGAAACACTTTCTCTTTGCAATAGAAAACATGACGAACAAAAAATTGTTGGAACACAGCTAATTTCATTCATGATAAATATACCCCCATATAACTTTTGCAAAAAAGTTCATTATTTGGTGCAATTTTTCGGTGAACAAATAGCAAGATTCCAAAGTGCAACACACTATCGAGCAATTTAATTTGTGTCATCTCTCACTAGATAAAAACCAGTTGATCAAAACCAGTGCGTCCAATTTGGAGTAACCAAACGTGTATTTTACAACTAACATGTGATAAATGGAAAAACCCTAGAATTCTTGAGATGCAGATCCAATTTCTTCTTTTCCCTTTCCAACCTTCTTAGGTAACAAAGTTTGATGAATATTAGGCAAAACACCGCCATTAGCAATGGTTACAGTTCCCAAAAGCTTGCTCAGTTCCTCATCGTTCCTTACAGCAAGCTGAATATGCCTTGGAACAATACGATTCTTCTTGTTGTCTCTGGCAGCATTCCCAGCCAATTCCAAAACCTAAATCACACAATTGAAAAATTAAGATTCCGATAATCAAAAATAATCAAAAAACAACCAAAAAAAAACTAAGATTCAAACAAAAATTTCAATCGCAATCGATCTAAATTAAACCGAAGAGAAACAAACCTCAGCGGCGAGATATTCGAGAACGGCGGAGAGGTAAACGGGAGCACCAGCACCAACACGTTCGGCGTATTTACCTGCCTTGAGGAATCTAAGCGATTCTACCGACGGGAAATTGAAGACCGGCCTTTGAGGATCTTGAAACAGATTTGGCGGCCTTTGATTTGCCTCTTCGCCCTTGGTTGTAGCAGTAGAACTTCATTTTCTGATCGGAGAAGATATCGGAAAACCTAAAACCCTAGTTTCTGAGATACAAATGACTGAAAACTGAGAAGGCGAGAAGAGATTTTAGACCGTGACATAACTAGTGGAATGTTATTATATAGTGCTCTCAACCTTTGCGTTTATTGGCTGAGCGGGGTAAGGCACGGATTGCCAGCGTGGCACACTTACGCAGAATCGCGCGAAAATATTCTTTCCGTTTTATTGCACGGGTGCTTCTTAATTTGAATTGGTAAAGTCTTAATACACTTTTATTATTATTTTTGAAAGATATCTTTATGAATATAGATTTTTTAGAGTTGAATATTTTTTTTTTGTCTTTATAAATATTTTATAATTTTGATTTTAGTCACTAAAATTAGTTTTTAAATAATAATTTCCAAAAAAAAATTTGTCATAATTTTAATTTTTATTGTCCATTTTTTTTAATGAATACTATCATGAACATACTGATGACATTTTTTTAAAAAGAATGGTTGAATAATCAACGGCCATGTTTGAAAGTATTTAATAAGATGATAATGTGACATAGATTTACTTTTTAAATTGAAGAAGAATCAATTTACTCTAAGAGTAAGTGTTTTTAATTTATTCGACACTCTTAATTTTTAAATTAAA